CCGGTCACCCAAGCACGCGCTCGCTGCGAACCCACACGCGCAAGAGGCTGCAAGGTACCCCCCTGACACTGAGCATGCGCACACCCACCCTAGCTTGAGCGCATGTGTGCCGGCTTGCGTCCGGGGCGCGCGCCGCACGGGTCTCACACTGAAAGCCAATCAGACCACAACATGCATCCCAGGCCCACAGAAACCCGTGGAAAAATTAAGATAAACACGGTATGTGCGATGTTTTCTGCACAGCGGCGGCGGCCGCACTTGCGCAAGAAAGACCGCTCACTCGATCGCAGACTTGCCCGCCATGTCCGCCTACCGCCAAAACCTACTCTCAGAGGGCCATTTTTGAAGGGTTTGAGCGATGCAGGGCATGCAGGGGACGTATGCGATGCTGGACCGCCCAGATGTTGATGCAGGAATGCCGGGGATGGCGAAGTTTGCGAGGATGCAGAGGATGTTGTCGGGGATGCTGGCGACGGTCCGGGGCGAATCGCACAGTATGTACAGTGTTTTTTGAAGGTCGGACAACGTGGCATCAGAAGCCCGTCGCAAGGCCAGGGAGGCCGGGGATGTTTTGGGGTCCAAGTGTTTGGGCCGGCCTGCATGCAGGTGATGCAGGCAATGCTGAGGAGCTTGGGGCGCAACAAAACACGTCAGCAGTATACCCTACGTGGACACACAGCGCAGCTGCGGTTTTGTTGAGCTGTGAGTAGGCAGCAATCCAGAAACCAAAGGCCGTCCGATGTGCAAAAGCAGGTGGTGGTTCAATTTTTGTTTCCCTAACGCAAACCCGACGCAAGTTGGTTTCCTGGAATTTCTTCCCCCCCTTGAAACAGGATTCAAAAGTGGTCCCTTATGTCAAGGCAAATCCATTTGCTTCGTCCAGGCAAATTGGAAGAAGGGCATCCCCAATCCAGTCGTTTGCCGCCTTTCCGGGCTCTGGACTTTCCCACCTGCAACGGGCATTGAACCCAAAGCAGCGTAAGTCATTGGGAAGTGGGGCTTGCCCTTCCACAGGCGGGCGCGGGTGGCCGGGCCTCCCGCCGATAGCGGACTTGTTGCTTGCTAGGAGGGTAAAGAACCTCTTCAACATGGTGACGCGTCAAGGTCAAGACAAGCGCAGCGAAGTTGCAGATTGCACAAATTGAGTCCCGGCAAGCCACCAAGGTTTTTTCACAAACTTGCAAAACGGATTTAGTCCTCCCTGTGCAGGTGGAGTCATCATTTGTAGCTACGCAATACAAAGCCTCCCCAAAAATTTCCTGCACCTCACAAACTCACAGACTTGCCAGCGCTCATCCCCCTGCCTTTGGGGCATGCATGGGGAGGGGTAAGTTCCGCGTCGACTTGGTTGCCGTTGACCCCCCTGCAAAAAGCTTGACTTTTTGGGGGTTTATAAAGATCCAACCCAATAGCAGCTAAGGCAATAGTAGTGCCATCCTGAAGCCTGTGCAAAACAAGCGCGCTCTGCACAATTCCTTCGATCCAGCTTCAGATTCCGCTTGTTTGATTTTGCTTTTCTGTCCAACCAGACTAGCGGCCTAGCAGGAGGCAAAGCCAGAGACTTGATTCCCGATTTTGTGGGATCACATCCAAAAGGTCAAGGTGCCCCATTGCCTAGGTACCTACCCAGTTCTGGAGAAACCACTATACGGTCTATGCAAATCCCCAGGAAAAACACACCCAAAAGGAGGCAAAGGCCGTCATGGGGACCAAGAGACGGGTGTCTCCAAAAGGTCCCCTAACCCAGTGCCCACGGTCCCTCGCTTCGAGTGCCTCTGGTAATGATTTCAAAATGCTTCTGGATCTTCGGCTTCTTCACCTCGCGATAGACCCAAAATGCCGGAATGTATCAATCATACTGTGGATGGACAAATTTCATTTCGCACCACTTTGAAACCCTGGGAAACGATTTCAGGGTTTGTTCGGTGGTGCAAGATTTCGTCCTTTCACAGTAGGTGTCCTTGTGGTAACATAGGCGATGGCCCTGGAAAATGGAATACAACCAGTTGAAAACAGTGCCATCTATTTCTAACCTATAGCCTAAAAATGACATCTATAGCATCAATGTTAGGAACCTCTCGAAGTGGTTTGCTTCCTGCTGCTTGCCTGTTGTCATAGAACATCCCCTCAGCTGCGAACATTCACAGGCATCCATCTGTCCCCGAGCATCTAGGGAGTGAGTACTACTGAAAGGATGCAAAGACCGCACAAACCGGTATGTATCTAAGCGATGGAACCTGTCCACAAACCAGCCAAGCAACCAAGCAACCAAGAAACCCCCGAGCAACCAACCGGACTACAAACAAACGAACCAACGAACCAGCCAACCAGCCAACCAACCAACCCACCCTTCAACCCTCCCACCCTCCCACCCTCCTACCTTCCCACCCTCCCCTCCCTCCCTCCCTCCCAACCAACCAACCAACCAACCAACCAACCAACCAACCAACCAACCAACCAACCACCCAACCAACCAACCCTCCAACCCTCCAACCCTCCACCCCTCCAACCCTCCAACCCTCCACACCTCCAACCCTCCAACCCTCCAACCCTCCCACCCTCCCACCCTCCAACCCTCCAACCCTCCAACCCTCCAACCCTCCAACCCTCCAACCCTCCAACCCTCCAACCAATCAACCAACCAACCAACCAACCAACCAACCCACCCACCCTCCCACCAACCAACCAACCAACCAACCAACCAACCAACCAACCAACCCTCCAACCCTCCAACCCTCCAACCCTCCAACCCTCCAACCCTCCAACCCTCCAACCCTCCAACCCTCCCACCCTCCCACCCTCCAACCCTCCCACCCTCCCACCCTCCCACCCTCCAACCCTCCACCCTCCACCCTCCAACCCTCCAACCAACCAACCAACCCTCCCTCCCTCCAACCAACCAACCAACCAACCAACCAACCAACCAACCAACCAACCAACCAACCAACCAACCCTCCAACCCTCCAACCCTCCAACCCTCCAACCCTCCAACCCTCCAACCCTCCAACCCTCCACCCCTCCACCCCTCCAACCCTCCCACCCTCCCACCCTCCAACCCTCCCACCCTCCCACCCTCTCCCCCCTCCCACCCTCCCACCCTCCAACCCTCCAACCCTCCAACCCTCCAACCAACCAACCAACCAACCAACCAACCAACCAACCAACCAACCAACCAACCAACCAACCAACCAACCAACCAACCAACCAACCAACCAACCAACCAACCAACCAACCAACCAACCAACCAACCAACCAACCCTCCAACCCTCCAACCCTCCAACCCTCCAACCCTCCAACCCTCCAACCCTCCAACCCTCCAACCCTCCAACCCTCCAACCCTCCAACCAACCAACCAACCAACCAACCAACCAACCAACCAACCAACCAACCAACCAACCAACCAACCAACCAACCAACCAACCAACCAACCAACCAACCAACCAACCAACCAACCAACCAACCAACCAACCCTCCAACCCTCCAACCCTCCAACCCTCCAACCCTCCAACCCTCCAACCCTCCCACCCTCCACCCCGCCAACCAAGTCCCTAAGAAACTGGCCCGCGGAAAGCGGTTGGTGAACTTGCCATAGTCTTGGCCTTGGCAGAGTCAGGCGTCCCACCTCTGATCTGGGCAAACTCGTGGGATTCACCAATCAGAAACAAACAACAGTCGCCAAATGTAAGCTTGCGTTAAGCCTGGGCAATCTCATTCTAGTTTGCACCAATTAATGCATAAGCACCCGCTGCTTCAACATACCTCAATGAATTCGAGCCATTCCAACTACGATAGGAATGGAGTCAGGAACCGATGGGTGAGCTCACTTGACCCCAGAGCTCACTAGACTCAGTGACTCAGTGCCAAAGCGGAAGGCCAGATCTCGTGAATTCCTTGATGCACCCTGGACCTGCTTTCCACAACATAATTCCAGTACTGAATCCACACCCACAGGGTACAAGTACCTGAGGATGGCTTTTGGGGGGTAAGAAGGGGTCTAAGTACCTCCTTAGAAGGTACTTGGACCCTCTGGGACAGGGCACACGTGAAGCCACTCTTCTCAGACTCAAACGATCAGCATAGTGTGACGAAACAGCATCAACACACTCGCGAGACAAACCGGCCTCAAAGCAGGCGAGGTAGGAACGATTTCGAGCTCGCCAAACGGGGCTCTCTATTGCGCAATCAAACGGTCAGTCACAATCGCCCAAGCATGCTGAGATGATGCTCCATTTGGCTGACATTTGCATCTTGCCGCATAATCAAATTCGCTCGTCTGCTTTGGCAAATGTGCATCTTCTGCAAGGGGCGACTAGACTTCCCAAATGTGCCGTATAATACAGCTATGAAATTCTAGACAGTGGGCAGTGGGCTTATTCCCTGAGTTCGATGATGTCCGTTTTTAGATCAGTCCCGAACAAAGTTCAACCACAACTCACGTCTGATCCCAATGTCAAACGATGTTCGTTGAAAGACTTGGCAGAGATTCGTGTTGCAGCCCAATCGAGAAATGTCAAGGCACCCAAAAAGGGGGGGAGTGCTCCTTAATTCTTTGGTTTTGCCCCAGTGCTTTGGGTCCATGAAACAAGTCGGTCTAGGCCCCAACATCTAGCCTGACCCCTTTGAAGGTCCTTTTTCTAGAAAAAATCGTCGCCCCAAGACCGGCATTAAGCTCGAGCCCCTCTCTGCAATATGGTGGCTTGGTTTGTCCAGAAATTTTTGGCCCACTGCTGCTTTTCCACAACCCGGTTGGGTGGCATGTCCTCTGCGAGCGAATCGCAACAGCCCCCACCAGGGTACCTTGAACAGGTACTCTTCCGTCTGCTGAGCATGGAACCCATCAAGAAATGTCCCTTGAGCGAACCCGTTTTCAGGACCCTCCCCAGTCAGGTTGCATGGATGATCCATTCGAGGCATGTCACGGCCTCTGCTCTCTGCAAGATAGTCGGTCATCTCCTGCACTACCTCCTCCTCCAAATCCGACCTCGGTCCGTGGGTCAAATGAGTTGGGCCACCTTCATGGATTGAACCGCTCGTGGTGAAAAATATCCCTATGAACAGGGATCCTTACAGTATACACCTGAACATTGCCTTGTAAATGGCGGTGTCCCTTTATTTTGGCGGAAAAAGCAACATGTTTCAAATGGGCAAAATGGAGATCTTTTAAGGAGCCCTGATGAAGTTTGGAAGGTATTCAAAGACAAACTGGAGACAGCCGCTGGGATCTACTGGGACTGTTCAAACAACCTGCTCTTGGCTCCCGCTCAAGGAACTGGACCCGAGGGGGGGGTATTTGTTTAAATATGCAACCCTGGTCAAACTCCTACAAGTTATTGTCATTTTGACTATGTCACATGTGTTTTGGTCATGGTTCCCTCAATAGGAACCATGGAAGCTTCAACTACCCTCTCTCCAACACCCATAAAATCTGAAAGGGCATTCAACAACTTTCATTCGGAAGTTCTCTGTCTTTTGGGGCCCATGGCGGCGGTTTTTTTTGCCTCTCACTGCTCGGCAAACTTCTGGAGATGCGGCAGCCAAAGCTTCTTGTGGTGGCCTCCCCACATCCAGGGCTTCGAGCTGCCGCTCCAGTGCAGCACGAAGCTCTGCGCCAGCTCCTCGCCGGTGAATTCGCGGCCGGGAACCCCCAGCTGGCCCGTGTTCCAGCGGGAATCGAAGAGGATGAAGTCCTCCGGCGAGTCTTTGGGGTGCAGCTGAAAGGTGAGGGTCAAAGGCGGCTGGGAACCGCCTTGCCAAATGCCCCCAGGGCAGCTGTTGTGCTCACGCACCAGTTCCTGGAAGCGGTCCGCTGCTTTGCTCTCTCTCCAGCGCTCCAAGTTGATCGCGCAGACCCCGACGTTGTAAGCGTGGAGGTTCATCAGCTCTTTCAAGCTGATGCCCAAGCGGTCGCAGCAGAACCCTGTCACATACTCCGACCACATGAGTGTCGAACGGTCCACGAAGCCAATGGTCTTGCCCGAGGCTGCCAGCTGATCGCTCATCTCTTTCACGTCTCGCTGGACGATAGTGTCCGCATCCAGCCACACCACGATGCCTGCCCTCAGCTGCAGGATCTTATCCATGTGGATCCGCGCATAGTTTTCCGGCTTGTCCAAGTCCCCTCGGATTTCGCGCGTCGACTCTGAGAAGTTGCCTGTCTCCTTCTCCGCAATCCATTCTGGGATCTCGTGCAGCTTGATCCGCGCCCCGCGCTTTGTCACCTTCTCATAGCCATCAACACCCAGGTCGCGCTGAAACCGGGAGAGATTTTCCTTCAGCACCATCACGTGAATCATCAGCTTGGAGGGGTCCCGCGACGCCTCCACACAAGAGCTGATCGATGCCTGGGTCTGGGTCAAAATCAAACCACCAGGATGTGGACCGCAGGTTTTGGTCCATGTTTGGGTCCATATTGGGTACATATTGGGTTTTTGTACCACCATGTTTCCATTTACCTTAACAGTCTATTTTGGGTACATATTTTTGAGCCACAGCCGCCTTGAGCCCCTCGATCATCTTCGCGTCCGCGCTGTAGGCCACACGCACCAGGCCCGAGTTTCCACGTGGGATCTGGACCATGGCGCTCGCGTCCACCTCGAACTCCAAGCCATGAACGCCGCAGATCACCAGAACGAAGGGCCACACGCCCCACAGGGACATGGCCACTCTTCCATGGAGATTCGGTTTCCACCCTGCAGCCGAGAAGATGTGTGGTTTCGCTCATGTCCCAAAAAAGAAGCAGCTGATATCTGTCAACTTGCTTGATTGTCCAACAAGGGTGACATGTGAAGCCCCCCATCAATGCGTCCCTTGCATGGCCATAGTCTTCTTTATCGAAGGACGGCATGTTCACTTCGCAAAGGGAACCTAAGCAAAAACCCAGTCAGTGACAGACTGCAACAATTTGTGCTCGGACATCTGAGGAGTTAAAGTAGCCATGTGTGTGTGTGTGTCAACCTTCATTCTTCTCTCCTTTGCAACTCCATGCTCGCCTGCAACCATCCACATCGGCTACCCTTCGATTGACCTCAGAACTCCGCAAGTCCAAGCCATTTCGAGAAGAAACGGCCAGACTTTGACCGCCAACAGTTGACTTGTTCGCTGCTTGATGTCAGCTGATTCGTAAACCCGGATTGAAGACGACAACGGTTCCAGCCGATTTGGACCTTGTCGCCCTTGAAGGGGGGGGGGGGTCTTACTCATGTGCCTCATGTGCCTCATGTGCCGTACCAATGAAGAAACAAGTCAAGGGCTCCAGGGCAACCCAGGCTTCCAGGTCTTGACTACCAATAGACAGCAAACTACTTGCCCCGTTTCCCCAGAACTGGATGAATATAGGTCTACCCTAGCACAGTTCCTTTGCTCCTCCGAAAAAACGGGTGGCAGCCAAAGACCACCCAGGAGGTCCCAAGCAGCCGAGTCCCAAGCAGCCGAGCCCCGAGTCCCGAGTCCCAAGGCGCAGGCTCATCACCTGGCGCAAGGGGAGCCTAGAGAAAGGTCAGCCCAAGAGATGGTTCCGTGCCTGGCCCCATCAAAAGAACGGACAAGGACCAAGCAAATGTTCATTGAAACTCCTGAGGTAAAGAAAAAAAGTGGAGGTGTACATAAGCCCCCTTTGTTTTACATGGTTTGAACTGCAGGGTAAGATTCTTAATTGGGAAAGGCCAACGTTCTGTTGAGAGACCCAACATGCGATCTAACAAATGGGTTGTCTGCTGATGCAACACACACACATGATTGTCCTGTGGTGCAAGCTGCAACCCGTTCATTAAAACCCGTTTGGGGTCCCCTCATTCTGGCGAATTGATCAATCTCGAGATGGTCAAATAATATAGATCCAGCTTAAAATAATGTGCAATGCAAGCTTGTTTCCTAAGCAACAGGGATCTGCAGTGTTCGAATAACTTGGACGGAACCAGCTTCTCGCGCCCCCAATTTATTGCCATGGTATCGAAGTAGCAGCTAAAGCCACCGACGCCTAAGCAGGCGCACATGCGTCAGGGTGGCCTAAACCAACCCACGGAGATGACTAGAAACAACTTGTGCTGGTCCTTGCATCCAGTCGCAAGGAATAAGACCCCTGGAAAACAAATAAAAAGCACATAGATTGCCTGTAAAGCCAGCGAGGGAAAACAAACATGTACATATATTCTTAAGCAAATGGAAGCTTGACTAATATGAAGAAGAATCCTGCAGAAGCTTCAGGTTTGCCAACTCCCCGGGTGTATGCGGGTTGCGCCAGTTGGGACCGTGCGATTGTCAGGTGATCTCGCCAGTTGACTGCGCAGGAAGCAAAAAAAAACAAGCAGAAACGACAGCTCTAGTGGCCAGCCCAAGCCTCTATTAGCCCTGATATCTCGATAAATGTTCAAAAGCAGGGTATCTTCTTGCTCATAAAGAACAAGTAAGATGCGATGTTGGCCGTCTGGACTGCAGCCATCGGGATCCGAACCTCAAACAGTCTCATGTCCTCGCTTCATGTCCCTGATCATTTGTGGGCCTACCTGTAAGGATAGATTTCCTCCACACCCAGGTCAGACCAAAACAAACACAAACCAGTGTTGTCTTTGCACCTTGACCAGCAATGCGCCACCCCCATCTGTCGAGATACTAACGTGGAACCGCCATGCTAATGACCATGGTAGTCCCACCTCCAATCCGATATGTGACATAATCTGTCAAGCCCAAGCCACCTCAGACGACACCTTGATTGAGACTCGCCTGCGAATTGACCAAATTCCGCCACAGAACCCCCCCCAAGCAGCCCCCAACGGCTAATTACATAAAGCCAGAGGCGTTCGAATGTTCAGGTACAGCATCAATTTGATAGTTTGTGCTTTCCGTTTGTTTGGGGGAAGCCCTGAAGGATCAAGCCGAATTCAACAAACACGCCTGGGCTGTTGCGCACCATCCGCTGGGCCCGAAGCTTGCCGTCTGACATGATCTGCAACTGGCGGGACAGTAGAAAGCCAGCCAGCCGATCCGACCGGGGGAATGCTGTGTGTAGCCAAATCAAAACGCAGGCTTGCGCGAAACCAACAAACATGGACATAAATCGCAACTTCTCGGGACGATGACTAGACAAAGGACCAACATTGGCAAACTAAGTCAATGCTTTAATTGGTATGACCAGTTTGCATCAAGTTTCCTTTCAGGTTTGTTGTGTTGGCAAAAAGGAACAATATTGTGGTCCTTCTTCTTCATTGCCAACACCGCGTTCAACCGGTGCAACAATAATACCACCAGCCACTGAAAACCAGACACCCTGAAAGGGCTTGTGTGTGCACATCCCCACCCCCAACTGAAAATTACGAGGGCACCCTAGTTATTTTACATTCTGCATTTACCTTTTCTGGGAAACCATAAAACTGAAAAAAAGGCTCCCCACCCTCATGGATGTGGACCCCTATACAAATATCAAACTTGCATCACAGCCCGCCTCGAACTCGACGTGCTCCCCGACCACCTCTGCGAATCGAACGCTGCGGTCATATTCAACAGAGCGGCTGTTGATTCAACATCACGGAAAAGCAAACACCGACCGTTTTTTTTTTCGCCCAAGTAATAAACGACCCTGATTGAAGATAGTATCTTCTTTTCTGGGCCGCTGTCAGCTACAACTACTTTAAATGCACCCACAAGATATAGCAAAATGTACCCCTAATGTATGTTTGGCATCCATGCCGTTTCCATTCATTGTTCCAAGGAGTGCCATTCCAGATCTCGACAATCAGCTAGCCAACAAGAAGGTCCTTGCTACAGGTTGTGCAAATCAAGGTTTGACAAGCTAAGGCAGGGCAGCCCTTCCATTCCAATACAACCCTCTAGTTGGCCTACACACCCCTGGACCACACCCCTGGAAAATCCTGGAGAATGTCCAAATCCCCAAATTCGAGCACGATTTTGCTACGTTGGACGCGCGCGTGTTTTTCGTACCGCAGCTTGAATGGGCAAGGCTCGTGAAGATCGCCCCTCGAGGTAGGATCCCGTGGGTCGCCGCATCCACAGGTCAAAGAAGCTGCCACCACAACCGCACCGGCAGCAGCGGCGGAGTTGACCGCACCAATGACAACAGCATCAGCTCTTTCTCTCTGTCATCGAAAGCCAGCCACCAGCGGCAGAAGGCAGTTTCTCCAAGCTGCGGCATGCAACCAAAGATTTAGCGACGCTAAACCAACTGTTCCGAACGCCAGTGGCCTTTTTGTTGAGGCGTTTTGCCTGTGCAACGCCGCAGGGATAACTAAGGGATTGCTTTGCCGTTCTGAATCAAGGGATTCGAACCTTTTCAGCAAAATCCGAGTTGATGAAAAGAGCTATGGTGGAACAGCAAAAACAGGACTGATCCCCTGGTTCCATAGGTTGATCCCAAATGTTTTGCTCCCATCTTTCTTCTTCTCAGCCAAGTTCACCTGTGGAGCAAGCGAAAAGCGCAAAATCAAGCCCTGTGCATTCCTCATGCTGGCCCCATTTTACCAAAAAATCCCTGGGAGGTAGGATCCGACTGGATTTTTATTTGACCCGACCGTCAAAAACATGACCCCAGTATTGGGTTGCTCGGCCCGCCTCTTCCCTTCGCTCCGACTCAGACAGCTCCGGTGGAAGCTCAGCGCGGATGAAGTACACATCCTGCATCACGCATCCCCCCTTCGTCTTGTCTGCACCTTCCCTTGGTTTAACCCAACACAAAATGAAACCGATCATCTTAGGGGTCCCCTAAATTTGAGACACACCTGCAAGCCACATGAGAACCCCAAATCAGCTAAATGTTGGTTCTGCTGTATAATGATTTAGATGGGCCCCATCAATTGTGAACCCGTGCTAAATTGGCCAATGGGAGGTTTCGGGTACTGCTCTGCTTCACATACTATTGTTGATCAGTTGAAATGAGGCTGCACACTCTCAACACTATATATGGGCTTCAACCGGTCGGCTCCCCCACCAGAAACAACTCGCCAGTCAAACACGAGCCGACCCCGGTGGTTAACATCAGCCGGTTTCAGCATGGAAGCAGGTTGAGTTTCAAGCATAGCACCTCGATGCATGAAGATCAGAAGCAACACATACTTCAGCATCACACAGCTGCTAGCGAAACCCATTTTTAAGACGCCACAGCCACGGCAATCATAGTCATACTAACCATAGTCAACACACATGCTCAAAACAATTAGCATGTCCAGGAGGACCAACACACAACGCCGCCCACTGTCTACATTATGGGATTAACCACCCCCAACTCAACAATGCAACACTGCAGCACTAACAATTGCGAGGCCAGGAACAAGCTAGGGTTTGCCATCACTGAACAATGTCTCAACTTCCCTGGGGGACCCTTAAACTTCACAAAAGTGCTCCTACCCAAACGCACTTCCAGATTTGGTCCATGTTTGTCTTCCCAAGAAGGTGTAAAGGGGTGTGTTTGGGAGGTGCCCAAAAGGGTGTGGGGGATCCTCCCACTCGCCCGGCCTCTTCACAGCTCTTGGTCTTCACAAAGCCATAGCCCTGCGGGGCGACAAGTGAGGGGTGCGACGGTCAGTCTGAAGCCGGAAATGGGACCCCCCCTGTTGCTTGGCTTTCTAAAGGGAGCCCCAAAGGACACCCTTGCCATTTTGGGGCTTCTCTGTTTCGAAGCAAGCAGCTGGGACTGGACCCCCGGGCCAAGAACCTGAGGAGGTACTTCAATCCTTTGGCCTCAAAACCAAAACATCCTTAAATCGTGCTTGTACCCTCTGTGCAGACTCCTCACTTCTCCTTCTGGGGTGTCTGCGTCAGCCTGTCGTCTCCCCGGATCATCGCGCCTTGCCCGGCTCGAAGGCGACGATCTCGCCGGAGAGGATCTGTCACGGCCACCGAACTTGGGCTCAACCGGTGGCAGGATTCGCCAGCGTTAAGGGCCGAAAGTTGGACATGAGGGGTGAACTATGGTGAACTGCTTGAATGCTCAAAACACTTGAATGTGTGTGTGTGTGTGTCTGTTTTTTTGAGGGCACCCTTTTGGGTTGTTGTTTAAACCGAAACCAAAAGGGAAACCAACGTTGTGTTTTCTTTGGGGGGGTCCCTGTGTTCACACACAACACTTCGTGGAGTGGAAAGAGGATATTAGACCATGGGGGAAGCCAATTAACCAAGTTATAACCTTGCTTATAACATACTTACTGCTATGCAAGTAATCCCGTCGCTTCGTGGCGCATAAGTAGACAATATATGCATAATATAGTGATGTGTCAGTGCAAAGCACAACACCCAACCCCATAGCCACGAGCACGCACATACACCTGCACACTGCACACACACAAACACACGCAAGCACACATAAACACACGCGAAGAAGCAAACCTACAAACACACAAGAAAACCAACCAACCAACCAACCAACCAACCAACCAACCAACCAACCAACAAACCAACAAGCCAACAAACCAACCGACCGACCGACCAACCAATCAATCAATGAATGAATCAATGAATAAATCGGTGGATCAAACAAACGAACAAACAAAAACACTTCCACAAAGGCAAGTTGGAACATTTGATCAACCGGAACGAGCAAACTAAAGCACTGTGTGGTCCAAAGCCAAAATATTGAACGTCACCATCAAGAAGTAAAACACAAGTAGCTGGCACCAGTTTCTCAACACGTGTCGTGGAGTGTGATCTTGGGATGCACACAGCACAGCGAGTCTAATGCTCCAGTTCGAAACCAACCGCCTCACTCAGCATACGCGTGCCATTTCATGCCCGGTTGGGCATGGAAAGCAGGTGTACTTGCTTGTGGTGGTCACGTGAAGGAGAATTGCAGTCCAGGGAGGGCCTTTGCTGTCAAGCAAGGCTGTCAAGGAAAGGTGCAGCTGCTTGTCAGTGTTGTTGAATGCTTGGGGCTTCGAGTATGCGAAGCTGAGAAACCAAAGCTTGCCTTCAAGGCAAACGAGGCGTCAACCATAGAGTTCTTCGTCAAACACCTCAACGTTGAGATGCTGAGCCACAGTGACCTTGTTTGCAAAGTGTACCTAGCAAAGCATCTCACACATCATCCACAAGTGACATACACACAGGAACAATTTTCAGTCAGCATACATTTCTCAAGTTTGTTCGCAATTCTGAACAAGCAACACAGACACGCAAAGACTGTAGCTTGATTTACAATGTTCTGTTCAGGGACATGTTCGGGGATGGTGCATCAAGGAGCAAATATCAACTGTCTCACAAGGCGTGTATGCAGATGTCGTTGCATATCCACATGTCCACCATGAGTGTTTTGCACGCACGGGCTCCACAGGGCTCGCGCCTTTAGCATCTGCTGTTGGTAAATTACTCATCTGAGCATGCAGTGCTTGAATTTAAACCACTTAGAAAAGGTCCACAGTTCTTCGTACATTGAGCGCGAACTGCGGGGCGGTTGTTGGACCTGTTTCGAGGCTAATAAAAAGAAATGTGCCCAAGTGTGGCAAACCCAATCAAACATGCTGGGAAGCCCACTCCTTGTCTTTGCGGTTTATGTTCGTTCCTTCGTTGTGGACCGCTCTGTCCACCTGCCACGCTGGTTTTCTTGGTGCCCCATTTGAGCCATCCCAAACCTTACCCCGTTTCTTGGAGCCCCGATGGCACCCCATTGACGGAGCGATCCCGCTCGCCTCGCCCTCCTGAGGCGCCTTGCCCGCGGGGAGGCGCTCCTGAAGTTCAGGAGCCGCTTGACTTCGACCTGTGGTTTCCTTGACTTCCCTCAGATGCCCAGTGGCCATGGGGGCAAAAAAAGGGCATGCTTTTTTGTCTGTTAGTTGAGTTTCACGGGGAACCCTTCCGAAGAAAAGGAAGGGCGCCACGGGGCAACTGGCTTCCCCCCTAAATGTGGGTGTGTTTTTTTGGCTGCCTTTGGGGTTCCCTTTGACCAAGCCAAAGGGAGTCCATTTTGACAACCCGCCCCCTCATGTGGGTGTGTGTTTTGTTTTGAGGGGAGTCGGTTGAAAGGGACACCAAAAGGACAACCGCCATTTCTCGCTTCATCCGATTTTGAGACAACCCATGTGCCTTCGCGAAGCTGATGGGAGGGAAGATTACACAAATGCCAGCTGAACCGGGCTTGGGTCAATGGTCAGTCAATATCCATGGCGGTTCAGGGCTTCCTGTATGGGTGTGTTGCCTTTGCTTGGGGTTTCTCCTTTTGATTGGTTCAGCAAAGTGAACCCAGCCTTTTGGGGGGTCTCCTAATTTAGAGGCAACCCCACATGTTCTGTTAAACAAACAAATCAAAGTGGCGAAAAAGCCGATGTCTAAACAGGCGTGATGAGACTCATCCCTGCAAGAAGCAGCTACTAGCTACTAGTTGCACCCTGTTCCCTTTTCAAAAACTATGTGCAATGCCACCATCATCCGCTGAGAATGCGTTGCTCGGTGGTGCGGGCTACCCCACCAACCCCTCAAACAAAGCAAACAAGAACACCACGGATCGTTGTTGGGCAATGTGGTTGTTCATTTCCCATGCTGGTCGCATCGTGCGGTTTGCGATTGGTTGGAGTCGCCTAATGCTCGCATGCGGGTCAATTTCTCCTCACAAAGTGAACAGAAATACTGCACGAGGAACAGAATCAATATAGCTGTTGGATAGCCGATCCCCAACAAAAAGGCTATGTGCTGGCAATAGTCCAGCCAACATTTCCCCGATTGGACTTGCCACTAGAGACAAGCCACAATGCTCGGAGGATATCAGGACCATTTGAGGATGGGCTTTGCAGGCTAGCAAGGGCCATGGTGCCATATCCTCTGAGTAGGGAACCTTCTAGATCAGCAGGAGCATGTTTGTTTGTCAAAATAGTATACAATACAAAGGGTAGTCTTTGAAGGAAGACTGAACATGTTGGCAAGCATCAGATGTGAGGGGTAATTAATATGGTCATGCTCAACGTAGACCTTAGCAACCTTCACAACCACCCTCACACATAGTCCAATTCCTAAGCCGGCACTGTTTACTGTTTACTTCCAGAAGCCGGGCTGCTGTTTTGGGGACGCAGTTCAGAACGAGAATCAGTATGATACCGCCGGCCTTTCGAGAAGTCGATTCCTCGTGTTTCCTTTCATGCTGCTTCAAGTGGTCTTGTTTCAAAATTATATTTTCTTCCAAGTGATTCATCGCCTTTCGGTTTACCGTCTTCTCTCAACAAGACACCTACACTTTCTAGAGTGCAATAATGCAAAGACACGTGCACGAATTGTCAGCAACATATAGCTCAAAGACATCTTGGCCGTCCAGCGCTTGGTGTGTTGGGCAAGGTTGCTGCGCATGCCGCTAGCTGCAAACTTCTGAGTACCTTGCTTGCACCTCTCCTGTCGCGGACTGCTTGGCCAGCTGTGTGAGCCCACACGCCCCGCCTGCCACCTTCTCTGGTGCCAGGGAAGCTTCACAGACTTCCCTTAGTGCCTTCAAGGCAAAGTACATTGACATGTTGATGCCAGCCCGTGTTGCGAACTGCGCGCACATCTTGGCCATTGCGTGCGGCTCTTGGTCCAGAGCGCACATCGCCCTCCGTAAGGTATGACCTCAGGAGTATGGCCACGATCCTCCCCCGCAGTCCATCAAAAGTATGGGCTTGCAAGCACTCAGCCCTGAATTCCCAACAGGTCTCCTTCTATCCACTTGAATCCTCCATCAACAGCCTGTTTTCGGTTGGCAACCAAGAGGTGACTACCACCATAGGGACCTATGGGCGAAGCCTGACCCGCCCCCCCAAACGCGCCGGTTTCGGTCGTCAGTCCCGGCCCAGGATCTCCAGATGCGAGGCCCGGGGCTTGCCGGGCTCCTTAGAGGACCTCAGAAATTGAATTGCGCGCCCCGGCCATCGGCTGGTTCTGTCGGCCAGGGGTTTGAGAAAGGGGGACCCTTTAAAGGGACATTTTGGTGTGGGATTCATGTCCACCAACCACTTGGCAAGTTCCTGTTCTGAACATTCAGAGTCACGGGGTCCGTAAAGCGTTTGCATTTTGAGGGGCTCTAAGTACATGCGTTCGAATTTAGGACTTGCCTTTGATGTTCTCGACTTTGGATTCTGAAGGACCATAACCAGGGTTCCTGGGGAATCGGTTATGGTCCTCGAATTTAACCAGAAGATGCCAATGATGTTGAACCCGGATACATCCAACACATGTTGCACCCTGCAGATTGCTGAGGGGTGTTCCCTCACGCAGCATGCCCTCGTTTCATGGGAACGTTCGGGTATGAATCAACCTGCGGTGCACGAGTTGCGACCGGCGCAACCATTCGCAAGTCACGAAGCCTGGTAACCGATTTCGTTCCGCGCAGGGAACAAAAGGAAGGACCACAAAAGATACAAAGGCACATAATTATATGCGGAGAAAGAAATGCAATATAACATACCAGTGGCTATAGGTAGTTTTTGGTCAATGGTCAAGGTCATCTTCTGTGAGGCCACCGGAAAGAGGAAGCATGAGAAACTAAACAAGTGGGTCAGTCGTCAGACTAACTTCGAATTGCGAAGATTAAGCTCACTACAAGCACGCAGCCATTTACATGTGACCCTTGGATTCCTCAGAAGTGAAAGTAATTTGAATGCCACTGATCGCAAGAAACCGTTGGGGACCCAGCCAAACCGACAAATATCTGGTGAGTTAGCTCACAGTTCAATAAGTGAGCACTTCTGGTTTATTTCGGTGTTTCTTTGCTGAACAAAGGGAAGCATTAGCCAGTAAGCCCAATCTTCCTTCTAACATGTTGGATAGAACCAGCAATATTGCAGCACTGTTTGTTGCCCGAAAGAACATATGCGAATTGGCGGCGTGCCCTGGCTCTTGCGGAATGTTGCTGCACCTGCATGTACGTCCCCAACTGGAATCTTCGCCAACAACTACCGGCCCTATTGTCCGCTGCTCCTTCGGCAGGTATGTGTCAAATACTAGGTGCCCTCCAAGATTCATTGGTGTCACCGTTTTGCGGAAAAAATGGTTTTGGTAGGATTACTATGTTCTCGAATTGGGACCTGTAAAACACAAGAAAGTCTGGCGTTGAGTGGCTCGTGGCGTCCCTTGACCAGCAAGTCAAGGACGCACATCATGGTGAGCTGCAGGGCTCTGAGTGCTGAGCAGCTCGAAAGAGATCTCCAACTCTTTCAGCTCCTAGCGCCGGGAAACACCTGAAGATGGACCCGGAGATTCAGAGGAATTTCCCCCCGCCACTGGGTTTTTATCCAGGTTTGGGGCTGGACGGCGTGTGAAGCGAGAGTGAAGCGAAACCGAGGGCGACTTTGGGGGGAACAGGACGAAGTTTGGCCAGGGGCCCCGCCTCATCCGTTCCAATGCTCAACCATCAAGGGACACCAAGGCACTGGATCCTTTGCAAGTGGTTGGTCTAGTGGAAACCTTACTGGCTTTTTGGAGCCCCAAAGGGTAGGGACAAACCCAGAGTCTAAACACCCGTTGAACCAGCTTTTGGGTTTCCTACCGCGCCTTCACCGTTTCTGTCCTGCTATTTGCGTGGTTGAAGTGACACCTCTGCTCCCAAGATTGCAGAAACGCCAGGCAGCCTGTTTGGGAGGTATGTCAAAACGTCACCTCGCTTGGGCTTCGGGGTATCTTCCAAGGCCTGGACTTCATCCATTCAAGAGCCGGCGAAGCTGAGCCGGCAAGAAGACACCCAGCCGCGCGGAAAACGCGAGAAAGGCAAGATCGGGGCACTCATGTCTTCCACAAGCAGCGGTCACAAAAGCGAGTGGGGAACTGGTCGACATCACGCTGGCAAATATATATATATATATATATATCTGCTGCCATTAGAATGGCCCCATCAGATTGCTCACCCAAGGTGTTGCACCCGCGTATTTATCCGAAACTTCGTTCTCCAAGAAAGGAACCAGGAGGCGAGGCCTCCGGGCAATTGCTTCCAAATCAGTACACCTCATCCCCGGAACAGTGCAAGTATACCAAGCACGAAACTGGCAGGGTCTCCCTTGACTCAATCCCGCGAAGGTGTCCTCCAGAGAGGCATCGTTGAGATCCTGCCAAGCAAGCGCATCAGGTGATAAAAACATGTGTCATGCCCGTGGACACCAGTTCGATGTGTTCCCAACTCCAGGGCTCCAGGAAACAATGGTACTGCAAAGCCTACACAACGAGAATGGGGTTGCGGGGAAACTGTTGAAGCAACAGAAGCCTCGTTATGATGGGATAGTCATGAACGCAATTGCTTAGCCCCTCACAGTAGACAAATCAGTTGGGGTGCTCCCAAATTTCAAAAAACGCTGATTTCAAACTTGAAGGAGCAATACACGTGTGTATATATATATATATATATGTATGCATACAATAGCTGTACAGCTGAAATCACTCAGAACGGAATTTATCCATGCATCTCCCTCAGCCCAATGTCGCCACATCTTGGCAAGGAAGGTACGATTGCAACGGTAGCCTGCCTCTGAATCGCTGCATTAACCTCCCCTTACATAGAAACCCTTGCCAAAGGGCATTTCTCTTGCGCGACACATTCTGTGTTTCCTAGAGGCCTTTACCTGCCCTCTGGCAAGTGAATTTAAGCGGGTCTTGCCTTGGATGAGCACAATCAAACCACGACGTGCACATTTGCCAGACAAAGCTACCAAAGTGTGGGCGATGGTTGCGGCTTCCCACACGGAGAAATCCTTGCAAGTCTTAGGCTCCGATTAGGTCGGGGGAGACTCATTGTCAGCTCGCTCCTGGCAGCAAGGTGCTTTGGCCAACAAACTGCAGCATGTCATATCTGCTACCCAAACAAAGAATCGGTAAAGGGCACTACTGGGGGACCTAGACAAGAGTCCCTCCCACAAAACCCTCCCTGCCTTGGGCAAAGAACTTCGTAGGAAGAACACGTTGTTGGCGAAGTCGCAATCTCGGGCGCGTGCTGCTCACCGGAGAGTACCCTCCCGCCAGCCAACATGGGTTTGTCACATTAGCACTGGCAACAAATTTTATTCTGGGCAAGCAAAGACTACATTGTGTTTATTCTGAAGGAAAAACGGGGAGCCAGGGGGGCGGGGAGAAGGCTGCTGAACACATTTTGCCCCTTCCCCCAAAAAAAAAGTACAAGGAAAGGCGCTTCATTGGATATGACCTCTTCCGGGCATTGCTTGGATCGGGGTATTAGATGAATCTTCTAACTGGGCTGCCCGTTTTCAGATCCCCTGCCAAAAGTTGTTAACTTTTAGTGGGTTAAATACGGAAACCCAACCACTAGACCCGAGCTAAACAGGTCTAAAAAGCTAGGGAACCGGATGGCCTTCGGGAGCCACCAAGCTGGAAGATCAAAGCTCAGCTCCCGGCCAATAAAGCCATAACCCTTCTCCTTGTGATACTTGATGACCCTGGCTCCAGCCAAGCTCCAAGGAGTTTTGTCTCCGAATGCTGTCGCTGTTGACGCAAAAAAAACTAGAATGGGGTTGTTTGGTACTGCAAAACCACATTTAGTGAGAGCAAACTAGCAAACATCTCGCCCCTCAATTGGGGGGTGGTCAAAATCCGGCGGGCATTTTTTTATATATCCCGATTTCCCCTGTAGGTGCCATATGTTTGATATTGGCAGATGCATATCCCGCCTGCCCCGTGCACGGGGTCCCAGAGGGCCCGAGCCTGGCATGCGCGTGAAGCGACCGGCAGGCCTCTGGCCGTCTCTGACCCGACTCTGAATCGCACGAAGCATTTCCTGAGGAGACGAGCTGCCGCAACGGCAGGTCACCAGCAACTGTCCTTTTGGTTCTCAAAAAGACGCGGTTCGCTTGGTTCCCTACAGAAGCAAGTGGCACTATCCTCGCGTTATGCGCCGGCAAGAGAACGGCGGCTTCCAGTCCTGGGGGAGTCCTCGGTACTCAGAATATTGCTCTTGGTATCTCCACTCCTTTCCGGAGACCAATGCTAGATTGGGGCTTGCCCATATCTTTCTGAGGAGCACCCGCTCAACTGGAAGACTCTTCAGGTCTCCGGCGGTCCTCGGTTCGTCCCGGGCGGTTCAGGTGCCATGGTTTGCCAATTTCAAAGTCACCCGGTTGCTAAGTCGGAAAGGCGCCGAGCTGTAGAACTATACCGTGCGTGTGGAAAATAGGCCGCCTTTCTAAATCACCCTGTGCCATCCCATCCTCATGACTTAATTACTTTCCACCCTAGCGCTGCGATCATTCCTGTTTGCCGCAAAAGCCGGCGGAGGGCGTCTTTACAGGCGGTTCCTGAAAAAAAAAACGGGCCCGCGCTTGACCAAGCTGAATCCCAACCTGCCTGTCCCAAACTTTCCAGGAGCTGGGACTTCGAAACGCCCGCCTCGCTTCAGGTGCAACAACTTCCTGCGGCGGGATACCAAGGGCAGGCAGGCTGGCAAAAAGTGGGTTGGGCTTTGACCCCATGCGGACGGAGCGTCTGGTTGGTTGGTGGGGAAACATGTGGTTCTTCCAAGAAGTCAACAAAGAAGTTCCAGGTTAAACCAAAGGCGGACGCCTTAGAGCGGAGCATGACAGCAGAGTCCCAAAAGGAGCCTCAGCTGACAAGCTGACCTCTGGAAAACATTCCCTTGCAACCGTGGTTTTATCCTCAGCCGTCCTCTTTCCATTGGCTCAAGCAGAAACAGGGTCTCATACATGGCCCGTCTTTCCCCACCGCGCTGTGTCTGAAGGGGCAGAAAGCGGAAGCTTGCTCATCTCCACTTGTTCAACCCCTGGGAAGAAAAACATTTTAGCCCGACCCTCCATACAAAACTTCCCTTAGTATCCGCACCAAAGGAACACGTTCTCCTCTATCTGAGTCCAGCAAAAAACGACGATGCCACCACAAGGAAGTCACTTCTGCCCGCGGTAAGTGGTTCTCCTATTGTGGATGGACGAAATTCTGCACCACCTAAGAAACCATGGAATGATGATTACCCTGTAAATACCAACGGACAATCATTTCATCATGGTTTCCAAGAGGTGCAGGATTTTGTCCATCCACAGTATCACCAGTCAATAAGATCCCCGTTCAGCGGGACTCACCCCTCATGTTCTTGGCGGGCCCCACGCTTGTCTCCTTGCGCGAAGCTTGCCGTCCCGCATCTTCTTCACCTCGAACTCCATGAGCTTGCCCACCAGCTGAGCGGGAAGCAAAGCTGATGGCCAGGCCGGAAAAAAAAACACAAAAAACAACAACAACAAAAAACACACACACACAATCACACACACACACAATCACACACACACAATCACACACACAATCACACACACAATCACACACACAATCACACACACAATCACACACACACACAATCACACACACACAATCACACACACACACACAATCACACACACACACAATCACACACACAATCACACACACACACACAATCACACACACACACACAATCACACACACAATCACACACAATCACACACACAATCACACACACACACAATCACACACACAATCACACACACAATCACACACACACAATCACACACACACAATCACACACACACACAATCACACACACACAATCACACACACACAATCACACACACACACACAATCAATCACACACACACACAATCACACACACACACAATCACACAATCACACACACACACACAATCACACACACACAATCACACACACAATCACACACACACACACACAATCAAACACACTTTCACACACACACAATCACACACACAATCACACACACACACAATCACACACACACAATCACACACACACACAATCACACACACACACTTGGAGTATCTAATTCTTGTCTCATGTTACGTTACATCCAATGCTGTCTTGACATCTGAGCTACACGATTGAGTCATCCCACGACACACATGCATGGGCTGTCCACTTGGCAGCAATCGGGTTAAAGGGGAAACACAAAGATCATAAGGTTAGACGTTGTGGCATTATGGTGTTCTTTTTGGGTGCTTCAAACCCCGAGTCTGCTCATATGAGAAGTTGCGTAATTTTGTGGAGTCCCTGAAACGTGGGCCTTGAAACAGCCCCGCCCCAAGGGAACCCTGAAACGACACACTCATGTAACCTAGTGCGGGTGTCTGATGCAAGCTGATGGCTGATGGGGGCCAAATGCGAAACCAGCTAGACCTCCGGCTTGCCACGGATCTGCAGCCATGCGAAGGGGACCTGAACAAATCAACAGACCTTAAATGCCTTTTCAGGCAGCGATGAGGTACTGCTATCTTGGATTTTGCTTAGCCCCCCGTTTAATGATCATCATTCAAGCGCCTGCCGCGGGTCTCAATGTAACACACACACACACAGATCTAGCAATCAAGGTGAAAATGGACCTCAAAGAACCTCCCCATGAGCTGGGCAACAGAAAGCTGGTCGGCCAGAAAAAAGGCGCCATTCCTCTGTTCTCGTGGTTTGGATCTGCCCCTGCCGTAACTTCAACAGATTGGGCCAGCGGAGAATCTGATACGTGTTTCAGCCACCAAGGAGGTGCCCTGGGCCACTGGGTGACGTTTCACCCCCAATTGATGCACGCAACGAGCTTTCAGCTTCGCTTCCCCACCTCCTTCTTCTCCTCCCGCAGCTCAAGTGGAAGCTCTTGCCTGACGTTGGGGACTTTCCGATGCAGGAAACCATCCCCCAGACTATCACAACAAAAGACACAGTTGCTCAACATTGGAGGTCCCGTGGATGCCACTTGCCGTTAGGGCATGTAAACTCCAAGGTCAACTCGGGCAGAATAAGGTCTTACTGAAAGTCGAGTGTGACCTTGTGTTCTCAATGGCAACCCACCCTGACCAACAAGCCACCAACAAACGCCTGCGTGGCCGTGTATACCTTAATTTCTTTATATGTGCGGCACAAAGCTTTCATAGCTTGAATTCCGGACCAAGACACAACTTACACCGGATATATCCACCACTGGTGTTTGAGGATTCCTTTTGCAAACCACCGGACCTGAAGATGTAGTCCCAAGCCGCTCTAAAGACCCCCCCCCCAAACCACCTTTTGGCAAAGGGGCCGCAACAAGGCTCGCCCTGGATCCTGTTGGGGGGGAAACGAAGACCCCCCATCCCTTCAACTTCCATTTACTTAAGCCCCCTGGAAAAATAAAGATATTTCCAGTAGTGATTGATTCCTTTTAAAACCAACAGGGGGGGGGGGAACTTAAACACATGGAAGTCAAAAGACTTCTACACTTCTGGGGGGTTCCCTTGCCTGTGCCAAACAGTCAAGAGCCGCACGTAGTTAGAGGCAAAGAAGCCTTTAGAACAACCCTCAGATTAGCATCCCTGAACGGAACTACTCTGCGGTAAAGATAAGTGAACTTCTTGTGCCTTGACACAAATCATGAACACCACAAGATCAAGGGAGCTTCCAGGTATGCGTTTGGAGATATAGATGCCTATACATGTACCACCAATATAAGCTTGTATAAGGCAGTATGTACTCCTTGTATAAATGGAAACGACAAAAAACACATACTTCCTAAACCCATCCCTGAAAACTCCCTTGACAAGACCCACAGCGGTTCAGAGTTTTGCCGCTTTCGGCTTTGCATGAACCTGCGGAATGAATTGCGATATGTCGGACTTGAAAACCGATTCTGCCGCTCGGTCTCCTAGGCCCAGGCGAGAAGCAAAACCCATAAAACTCGCAAAAGGCAGAATCCCAGAACCTGACTGTTGAGCACTGTTCAATAGGAGGAAAGGGGCTTGTTTGGTTGGTTATGTTCAGAGGCAAACTGAGATTAGCAGGAAAGCACTGACGAACTGCCAAACATGTGTGTGTGTGTGTGCGTGTTTCTCCAAATGACATCGTATTTGTGTGACGGCCGGTGCTCTTTGTTGGGGATCCTTGCACGTCACACCAAGCGCAATCGCACACTTAGTTTGAGGCCACCCACTGGCAAGTTACATTAACCCCTGGATTCCTATAAGAGAAGCCTTCATGGTCGCGACATGTGCCCCTGCCCAAACTTGTGAGTCCAGGTCCTGATGAACTCATCTCCCAGAAAGGTTCTTTTTGAACGGAAGGGCTTTGGTTACCAGGTGCCCAGTGGATTTCCGTAGGAAGAACAAATCGGCATCCTTTTTTGGTTGACTTTAAAAGGTTTTTCACTTCCCCAAACAAAAAGTTGAAACAAAGAAAGCAACCCGCTGGGCAACTGGGGATTTGAAAGGGAAACCCTTCCCAAAACAAAGCTGAAATAGAAAAATGGGCGGAAGCCACTGGTTGCAACTGGCTCAGACGGCTCTCTTCCAACCGGCCTTTGGAAGAAGACGTCCGTGGGGATGGTCTCGGACTTCAGAAAGCCGAAGCCCTGAGCTCCGTCTCGCGTGCCCGAAAGCAGAAATCCAAACCCTCCACCCTGGGGCTCGGTTGCCACCATTAAAACAGCGGGAGTTAAAATGACCACCACTATGAACCTATAAGGATTTTCATCCTCCAGGTTGGGTCAACCATTCTTTTACTGGGGGTTGAACCCCAGGGTCTATGGTTGGTTACATGGAGACACGGGAAGAACTACTCATGTTTAGGAATCCCCTGTTTTAGACAACGCCCATGTGAACGGGTTCCAAGCCCAATTGCGGCCGAGGCTAAATTGTCCACACCAAGGTGCGCAACAAGTTGCATGCTCAGTTTATGTTTCTTGTTTATAAACACACACACACACACACATCGATGGATATGACCAAGCCTGGTTTCACATAGCCCCCAAACCCAATTCGAACTAGTTGGTGCCTATTTAGTCCGTTATAGAAGGCCGCTTGGTTCTTGAATCCTTATACCCACATTGATTCACACAGCAAATTGATACTCACATGAACACCAACATCATAGCTCCTTTCTCAGCCCTTTTGTATTGCAAAACAAATGTGTGTCAACCGATATGTGTCAGTGTTGTTTCAGGCTACTCTTTTGTGGGATCGGTTGGGGAAAGAACTTGAACATGGGTTAGTCCCAAGCATTCCCAAGCACTACAACTATAACCGCAACTATGTGCCTAAGCAGTTTCAACATATTCTCTGGGTCCCACCATCTTATCTATACCTGCAAGGATATAAGAAGTTTCAGCCTCTAAACTGGGTCCCACCATTCTTCTACCGGTGGAATTTTGGGACTCCACGCCCTTTGCTTCCGATGCCCAAGCGCCGCTTGGCGGTTTGCGGTTCCCGCCGCCTTGTTGGGATCGTAGTTCGCCACGGTGCCCAGCGCCAGCTTGGGCTCCGCCTGCGGGGGCGGAACGCTTCAGGCCATGAGCCAGGCTTCTTAAAGCCAAATGGATGTGCGTCTGTGTGCGTGAGAGTGTGTCTGCTTGTGTGTGTGTGTGTGTCTGTCTGTGTGGGGCTGTGTGTGTGTGTCTGTCTGCATGTCTGCGTGTCTGTGTCTGTGTGTTGCTTTGAGACTGCCCTTCGCAAATGTTTTGTGCGTGCCCCTATTTTAGTGTCGTAACATTAGTGTCTTATTAAGAAGCCTCTTTTAGTGTTTCAAGGCGCAATTATGACAAGGCGCTATTCAAGCATTGATGCCAACTAGAGGGGTAGACATGAACCTTCGTGGGTGCGGTTGCGGAACGGCTTTGTGCGGTGGTTAGTTGTTACGCGGAAAACTGAGGATTCGCCCTTTGAAACCTTGTCTGAACATGGACACAAGGAAACCCCGAGCCCTCCAAGGAGCAGAATGCTCAAGGCTCAAATGGTATGTCTTTTTAACCCGGCCACCAAACAAAAGCAACACAGAACAATAACAGCTAAAAAGTTTGGTATTGAAGAAGGGAGTGTGTTGGTTGAAATTCAGGAAGCCCTTCCAACAACCAAAAGGGGGGAATGTTGGGTTCATAAAGATGACACTCTCCACATTCCCCTTGTAATTGGGGTCAAGAGGAAATCCACAAGAGTCAATGCCAAAAACCTTGATCACTTTCATACGCCCTACAATGAGAAACAAACTTGGCTGTGTGTTTGCAGCTATCCCCGTGGAACAACTCGCAGCCTTGCCAAAGGGGTCCTTCAGGAGCGCCAACCCATGCTTGACCTTGTGGGGGAAGCGCTTGTCTGTGGCCTGGGCCTTTTTGAGTGAACCTGGAAGGGGGGCTAGTGGGCGAACCAGAGTCTCTGTAGGAAGCCACATTCGTTCAGGACTCCTCATTTTTTCAGGACTCCTCATTCTGACTTGTACGCTGTTACTGCAGAAATTTAATGATAGTGGACCCGCCTAATCGTTTGTCAGTGTAATTCTGGCTCTACTGAACAATTCCCATGGTCCTGTCGAACCAAGCATATATTCACCGCTTAGCCTTGGCATGTCTTGGCATCGATGAAATGATAGCTGTCCTAGCCTCACCCATTGGTCAAAGGCTGAAGTGTTCAAACATGATTTCCAGAGCCTCTGCCTGAAACCAGATCGGCATTCAACTGCCAAACGAAAGGAACCGATCACCAATCCGCACAGTAACGCACTCGCTCGCTTTTTCCCAACCCAATTCATCGTCTCTCCCATGGGAGAGCCCAGCATGAGAGCCCCAAATGACCGGATGTGAGGGTGCCCGTTTTGAGGCCAAGCTTCCCAATAGTCTCCGGCGCCCGGGAGGCTAAAACTGGTATTGCACAAGTAACCCGCCCAATCAGGACTTGTGGTTCCACCGCAGCGATGCCAGAATCAGGAGTTAGCCGAATTGGATGATGCGCTCTGCCTTGTGCACCCGAAACCAGGATAAGACAAAACCCGGTGTGTGAAGGGGCTCTCATTCAATTAATGATCATGCCTTTACAGGTCCTCGCGCCAGCATTTCCACTTGCAGTACTCGGCGTGGTGCTTCTCACCTGACATGCAAGCTGTGCCGCTAGTATCCGACATGGGGACCCAAGCATTCGCGGACTCCCTTTAAATCCCCCTTAGCACAAGCCAACAGTGCCCCCAAAAACAAGATGCACCCAAATTATACAACGGTTTGGTTCGGTTTGGTGTAGTTTACAACCAAACATGCGCCCACATGTAAACTCAATATCAACTAACGTTGCAAGCCAAAGAGCCCGTTGAACGCATCCAAGTACAGCCGCCCTGGGTTTACTGCATACTCCCTCGGCTTGGGACCTCCCCGCCCTGCGCGCATATAAGTGGCACGTCTGGGCCGCCCTGCTCTGCTTGCACACCTGCAAGGCGTTCTTTGCGGACTCGATCATGTGAGCGTGGTCCACCTGATCTTTCACGTTGTTCGACTGCGGGCTTACGGGTATGCGTCGTAGAGGGGAACCTCCAACATAACATGTTTTACTTTTAGTTTCCAGTTTAACAAACACACCCAAAGGAGAACCTGGGGTTCCAAAGCCATGCCTGCGCAATTGGAGTCTCATTTTGCTGCCTATTTTGGAGGCCTCCGTTTTGTGACGGTCAGACCCTGTGGGCTTTGTGTTTCAGGCTAGCTCTCCCTTTCCGGAAGACATCCAGGGCACCTTCTTGGGCGCCCCCCTTGCAAGAAGAAGCCGAAACCCACCCTGGGAGGCGAAGGCCCGAGCCGGAGCAGTCGCCCAGATTGTTTGCACCCTTGATGCACAGCTCAGTGGACTCCAAGCGGGAAAAGGCACCTGTGTCCTGGAAGATTTCACAAGCAATCCCATTCTTCAAAAACGGATGCCACTGAGCACGTTCGGCAATGCTACATGTACTCGATATTCATGCTTGTTGGTGAACAAACACATGAGCCAAGGATGTGAGATAATGTAACGAGTCCTCGAGCAAGTCATTCTGGGCCAAACTTTGTGCTAGGCTGAAACGCTCTGCAACAATGGCCTAAGAGTCGGTCGTTCAGTCCTTAAGGTATCCATGCTAGGATGAATTGCCGAGAATGGTATTCTCCATTCAAAATGATTCCAACATTGCAAATGATGATCCAAGACTATCTCACCTTATCTTTCAAATTAGTACTCGCCTTACCACCAGAAAGCGGTACAGGGCCCAAAACTGATACCCCATGGGCCAGTAGAATTGTGCGTTTCTCACGCAAATGCAGTACCATTTGACCATTTGTCCCCAAAGAGCAGATTGAGCCAGTTCTGCTAAACATGGACGGTCGAAGAGAACAAATCTGAGTGCCTTCAATCAGAGGGTCTGCAAAAGCTTTCAAAGTGATCCATCCCCAGTTGTGATTCAGGGACAATCAATTTCAAGACCTCTTCTTCAGCACCCAGAAGGGGCAAAGGGCACTCTTCCGATTCACCGGCGGAGTGCGGGTGGATGCCATGGCCTTCTCCGCCTCTTGGACTCGGAAGGCCATGTGCTCGCCTAATGCCGTGGCCAGTTGGTCAAGCGGCCAAGCCACGAACGCCCCGAGCCCGGAGTCGATAGCTTCCATTTGCTTAAGCCCCCTGGGAAAAAATGAAAAATGTGTCGAGTAGTGATCAATTCCTTTTAAGACCAACAGGGGAAAATACAAAACATATTCTTATAACAAACGGAAGGATAGTTCAAGAGCCTCCCACAAGATGCAGAACATCCGGTTGAAGAACAAAACGTCTCCAGACCGGCCGAGCACTTCTTCGGCGGACGCGGAGGTTCGGGGCCAGGTCTCCTCAACTCACGGGAGAAAATTCGGGGCTTGTGCTGAGCCTGGCGGCCTCAGGAATTCCAAGGAATCCAAGCGCCAAACGCAGATGCCCAGTGGATTTCCATGGGGAAAAAGAGGGCATCCCTTTTGTGGGTTGGTTGACTTTGAATTCAAACCAAACCCTTCCCCAAAAGAGAAAGTCGAAGAAAAAAGGGCACCACCTGGCAACTGGGCAAAGCCTCTCTCAGCCAAGCTTCAGGAGTTGCCCAGGTGTCGGCCCATCTCCTTCTTGCACTTCCTGCAGGCTGCAAACACCACCGGCGCCGGTGTCGAACAAGCGTCTTGCGATTCCAGTGAACGACAGCCGACGTAGTTTACCCAAAAAACATCAATGCCAAGAAGAAAAGGGCATATCCCTGGCATCCAACTCTTGACTCGCAATTCCCGCCCTCCCCGCTCCGAAGGCTCTGCCTAGGGAAACTCAATGGGTGGAGTCCGATCGGGCTATGCAAATGCGGCTGGCTCAGACAGATCAGAAGCTGTCGATCTGAGGGAATCTGTCAAAACAAAGGATACATTCCGCCAATTGTCCCACAACAGCCAAGGGTCCATACAAATAATTAATTATGTGCATAATAATGTTGGACACGCTTTAAGTAGCCTGTATTGTGTAAAGTTGTTTCCTAATTCAGGATCGTTGGACTGTTTTGGGGCCCTCTATCGTGGCAAGTGTTCCCCCCAAAAAACGAAAAATCGGAACAATTCCGGAACAAAAACAACTAGCCAAAGAAGTCTGGCAAACAAATCCGGGCAAACATTAGGAATTCCTTTATTGAAATGGCTCTCCAAAACCATCAAATTCAAGATAACTTCTTTACCAAAAAGAAAGGGCAAACATTCGCACAAAGGGGGGGGTGCCCACAAAAGGCCCTGAACCTCTTTAATGTGACTGTTTTGGAGTCCTCTTTGGTGTCCCACTATCTTGGGGGGTTGCTGGAAAAACGGGCCTTGGCAATACCAAAAGTAGATTTGGCAATACTAAATCAAGTAGTGGGAATCTGAGAAGGGGCCTTGGTAGCACTAAAAGTAGAATTGGCAATACTAAAGTAAGTACTGGGCATCTGAGAGAAGGCCTTGGTAATACTAAAGTAAAATTGGCAATACTAAAATTGGCATAATTATGCGTATATCTATATACACCTGTTGGGCAATTAAACGTGAGCTTGTTTCAAAAGGGGGTAAAGAAACAAAAGCAAGTTCTCTCCCGACGGTTTCGGCCCGGTCTTCTTGCAGGTCTGGCCCTTGGCCAGGAAGGGCTTGGGGTCGTCCACCTCCTGGAGCTAGCGCACTTGAAACCAATCAGGACCTGAAAAGTGACTCGGTGGCTCAAACATGGTATCAAACATGGCACCTTAGTAAATGGAAACAAAGACTAGAACCTGCAAATACTTCGAACAACGAAATCAACCGACCTTCCCTTGTTGACCGGGGAGGGGGGGATCCCCTTTACCAGTCCTAGGTGGACATTAACCCATCGCAAAAAGCTGTGCTGCTGACCTTAACCTGCGCCCGTTACAGGCTTCCAAATTCAAACAGGCGCCCCTCATGGCCAACGAGCCGCTCAACACCCAGGCGGAACGTCTGCCGGCCTGATCCTGGACAACGGTCTTCATGGAATTCAGCATCG